AGGAATACCTCTCTTATGGGGGGGAGCTGAGACCATGCCAATCTGGTCGTCTGGTGTGGTCTGCCTCCATCCTCCCAGTGTGAAAGCAGGACAGCTCAGCTGGGCACCCTATGCCCCAGCAAGCTTTATGCTCAAGGCAATGTCAGTGCACGGGGATGGTAACGCCAAGCAAGAAAACTGCACAAAGACAGGTCAAACATGTCCTGAACGGGCTTCCCAAGGGGGGTCCCGCTCTCCCTGGTCCAGTCTGTGCTCACAGACTGCAGGGGGGGCTCTGTTCCCCGGGGCACGCCAGCACTTTTCACCCCGTGTACCTGAAGGTGCTGCCGCAGGGGCACGGGAGACGCTGCGTATGTGAGCTGGCCTGCCTGCTGAGCTGCTAATTCCTGACAGGAGCTGGCTGCCCTGGGAAGTGCAAGTCTGCACCACAGCTCCCTGCCATGCCAAGGAAATTCCTATAAAAATGCCTTTGTGAAAGAAAAGATGACAGTGTAAGAGTTCAGACTTACTCCAGCCAACACCTCCCTTTGTGAACCTCCCTACTGAAAAGTCCCATGCAGCAGGAGCCGGGTGTAGGAAAGGAGGCAAAACACTACCCTGACATCAGGGTGAAATGCGTCACTGGTGGCTGATGGCTATTCATGCTCTTCCCTATCAAATGGAAACAATTAATGAACTATTCAGCCTGCTGTATGCTGGACATACCGAGAAGGGAACTGAGCAGGGATGGGCAAACCTCAAACAATGCAGACGTCTGGATGCTTGTCTAGGACAAACCCGAATTAACAGCTTTGGTCTGATGGGGGAAGCTCAGAGGGCGCATCGCATCAAGCACTGGCACAGGGAGGAGTCACCCCAGAAGCTTTGGAGGGCTCCAAGGTCTCCTCATTTATCCTCACGCTTTGCATTTTCTGAGGATCACAGAAGAAATGCTGCACAGCAAAGCAGAAAACAGAGCCCTCACCCCTGGCTCGATGGGGAAACAGCGGCATGGAGAGTTACCGTCCCCTGAGCAATGCCTCCCAGGATGGGAGCATGATGGGTCAAGACATCAGCATGTCCTGCCAGTCCCAGTGCCAGGTGACAGTCCCAGTGCCTGCCAAGTCCAGAGTCTCCTGGCCACATCCGTGGGCTGGAGGACCGGTAGGCGAGAGGACTAGTCATCCAGGACAGCCAAGAAAAGGATGTGAATATTATACAGTAGAGAGACTTCTTGCAACGCTCACACACTTGAAGACATTTCATGCTGTTTGCAGGCTGTGGGGGAGAGGTGCAGCAGGGCCTCTTCGCTCAGGATGGATTTGGCACGTTCCTGAAGTGTACAGAGGGGAAAACGCACCAGGAGCAGTGCTCGGCCAGCAAAGCACGCTCAGATCTAAGCACGCACCTCAGTCCCACGGCATTGATCTGAGTCAGGGCTGGTATGATCTGGCGTTGGCTACAAACGCAGAGGCCAGGCGACGAGGTTTGAGGGATGATTTGCTTCTCTCCAGGTCTATTTCTGGTCCCCACAGCTGAGCTGTGGGAGGTTTGGCACCTCTCCCCCTTCCTCTGGGTAGAAATGCACTGAGGTGGGTGTGTGCAACACTTTGGTATGGAGAGGCTGCGCGGCTCGGGCTCTGCCACGTCGTGGGGGCTCAGCGACGGGACGGGGGGAGATGCGCTCCTGAGATGCCGGGTGGGAACTGCGTCCTGCCCCTTGTGACGATGGCAGAGAGGGTCGGCGGGCTGGGGGGCAGCAGGCTCGGCGATGAGAACGGGGCTGCTCCATCGGTGCCTGGGAAAGGCTGGCTGAAGGGCTCGGTGCAGCAACGAGAGGCAGCACAGAGCCGTTGCTCGTTTGGCCCCGCTTCTGCACAGCTCTACGAGCAGGTACCTGCACCCCGGGCAGGCTAAGCCAGCCCTTGCTCTCAGCTCAGGACATCCCTGGGGAGCAGCCAGCTGACCGAATTTGGAAACGCAATGGTGGCAAGGAGGGGGAGATGCTGGAGGAAGCAATGGAAAGCCCCCTCCTCCCAGCTGCTCCATCCTTGTCAGGATTCAGGTACCAAAGATGGGGAGAGAAAAAGGGGTTTTGTAGGCAGAGGCAAGGGCAAATAGGGGAGGGCTGCCCTGGTTTTTGTGCTTCAGGGGCAGTCTCTCCAGCGCCAGGCTGGGTCATGCCTCCGACTCGTAACGTGGCTGCAAAGTGTCTCCCCAAGAAACAGGGGGTGCAGAGCAGGTTGTCTGAGCAAAGGTATGTTTTCAGAAATGCCTGCCTGGGCCAAACGCTATGATCCACAGCCCAGCTTTGGGGATACAATCCCCCGCTCCTAAAACCTCCCCGTGCCCGGCTCACCCCCCAAGGGCAGAGAGTGGTTCCCTGGGGCAGCACACGATCCTGCGCTCCGGGCAATGCCCAGGGCAGCTCCTCACTAGAGCACCGGCACAGAGGGTGGCAGCTCACATCTGATGGGGGCAACATGAAAATAAGAGGGGAAAAAGGCCACAGGTCCATCAACAGCAGCTGCTAGGGACTGTGTTTTTGGGGACAGGCAGGGGAGAGCCTGCAGCCAAGGGCGCTTCATCGTCCTGCTCGAGTCAGTAATTCTGCAGTGGGTCAGGTGGGAGCGTGTTGTCATCTCCTTTCTCAGTGTTTTGATCTCCATGGTGACAAGGGGAACAAGAGATCCAAGTTTAAAATATACTCTGCCGCCTGTTTTTCCCTCGGGCTGAGGAAGAGAGAGAGAGATGGGTCAGAGAGGTCAGACGGTGAGCGGCACTTTGCAGAGAAGCTGAGCTCTGTGCTGCTCTGGGTTAGGAGGTTACAAGCCCACGGCATTCACAGAGGAGGGAGCTGCGCCTCAGGGCACCTAGATGTGACTTTGGTACCACGGTAGGTGACAATCAAGGATGCCCCAGGGATAATTTGTGAACTAAAGCAGGGAGCAGGTTTGGCTTTTTCCTATGCGGGACCCACTGGGAGTAACCCCAGTGCCAGCGCAGTCCATGGCACCATCTGGGAGAGGTCAGCATGATTTTCTCCAGTCCTACCTGACTGCTGAAAGGCTGAGCCTCGGTAGCCAGGGTCCTTTTGAAGCTGGATCTCCTTCAGGGAGAAGATGGAGACGTCTAGGCAGAGGGGGCAGAGAGAGAGGCGTCAGTCCAGCTGGCTGAGCCGGCAGCGGTCTGCAAACCCGGAGCCAGGAGGGAGGGAGTGCCCAAGTGCAGCACTGCACCTCATCAGAGCTTTTCTCTCACACTCTTACTCCTACTCCATATTTTTCTACCCAAACTGTTTCTTGCTCTCGCAGCCACCAAGCTCCCACCCCACTCTGCTGCAGGAGCACCTCTGAGTGAGCAAAGACAAGAGGCATCTGAAGAAACCTGGCTGCAAACCTCCACCCTCGGGCTGCACAGAAGCTCTTTGCTACACATCCCCCAGGCAAGAGGACAGCGTGCACTTACTGTCGGGCAGGAGGTGCACCCGCTCTCCCAGGCTCTTGAAGTAAGCGTGCCGCAGGGCTGTCTCCGCCGAAATCCGGCCTTTGGCTTCGTACTGCACAAAGCCCCAGAGAAAGGCGATTACACAGAGTCTGCACGTGCGAGAAGGCACAGAGGCCCCATACAGGACGTGTGCACATCTGTGCACCTACGCACATGTAAGCGCCCAAGCAATTTCATATGCTGCGTGGGTGATAGCATGTCCAAACACTGTGCACACCATGGCAATTACCAGTGCCATTTGCATGTGCACAAGGGACAGCACACACTGTGTGACCATAGGAGTGCACCGGCCATGTCGTACCTTATGGATCATCAGGTTTGTATCCTCTCACTTGTGTGTGAGAGGACACAGGATGCGGGATGGTTCACCGTCCTTAATGGGAGGTGGTTTGGGATAGCATCTACACGGCCATAGCTGTAGGGCTCTGGCTTATTCTGCAGTCACAGCTCCTCTCCTGCATAGCTCCAAAATCAGTGTGAGGGCAGCCAGAGTACCTTCACCTCAGCAAATCCCTTTGCCATCCACCTGGACTGCTCTACCACTCACCAGAAGGAGGTTCATCAGCAAGTCAATGCCTTCTGAGTCCAGCCTGAGAGAAGGAGGAAATAAGAAATGGAGCATTATTGCACCCAGGAGACATTGCAATAGTCAATGCAAGGGACAAGTGGCAGCTGGGACCTCCAATGCACAGCTGCATTCAGAAGCTGCCAGCACCACAAGGAGGAAATGAAACTGGTCTCCCCAGGCTCCCATTTACAACCAGTGCAAGCCCACCATGCCTTATGTGTCCCTGCTCAAGGAGGTACCTTGGGGCGTGATTTATTAACGGCTGGGCTCGGTACTGCGTGAAATTGTAAGCCTTAAACTCCTCGTTGGATGTTATTCCAGGCCAGGTGTCTTCTGTTGGGGTTCCTGGGAGGGGGAGAGAGGGAAACCTGTCATGTGCATTTGGTGCAGAGAGAAGACCCTCATGCATGTGAGTGCCAGTGTCCTGCCCAGGAGAGAGGATACGAATTTCCCCAGCAGGCTGGGACTCGCCTGCGCATCCCACGGGGCAGCTGGCGAGGAGCTCCTCGCCCTCACACCTCTGCTGACTGCAAGCCTGGAGGGGGGCTGCAGGCAGCCTCTGCCCACGCCTGCCCACGCCTCTGCAAGGCTTTGCCAGCGGGCTCCCTCCAGGCTCCTGAGGCTGCGCTTTGTCACCGCTCCTGCAGTCAGCCACTGCCCTCGCGTGGAGATTTGGGAGACAGCAGAAGACTCACCCAGCAGCCTGAAGATCAAATGCAGCTCTTCTTTCACCGTGGAGCCAGGGAACATGGGCCGTCCGGTGACCATCTCGTAGTGGATGCACCCAACACCCCTAGAGCAGCAGCAGAGGCTCTGGGATTAGTGACGGAGAAGCCCTGTGGACACCCCACCACCCCTTGGCCAGGACCGAAGTTCCTGGAGAGGGAAATGAGCTCCAAGAGCTGCGTCACTTCTCTGCTACAGGTAACCATTCACCCCTGATGAGGACAGCATGCTCCAAAGACCCTGAGCCCCAGGGGACACAGAAAACAGCATGGCCTCTGGGAGAGCCCACCAACCTCTGGTGTAACCAACACTATAGGCACATATGGTGCACTGGCAGACAGATGGAATGCCCGACCCAGCATCTCGGAGAGCCCAGGAAGCTCAGTTTGGAGCTGTGACTCACCACATGTCAATGGGTGTGGAATATTCGGTAGATCCCAGCAGGACGTCGGGGGGCCGGTACCACAGCGTGACCACCTCATTGGAATAGGTTTTCGTAGGGACTGACTTGGCTCTGGCTAGTCCTGAGGATGAAAGGGATGGGCATCAAGGAGCTGCTCCTAGCTGCACCTCCTTGCAATGCTGCATCTTCCCCAGAGAGGCCTGCCTACCAAAGTCAGCCAGCTTGAGCTCTCCTCTCTCGTTGATGAGCAGGTTCTGGGGTTTGAGGTCTCGGTGCAGGATCTTTCTCCCATGACAATAAGCCAGACCACGCAGCAGCTGGAACATGAAGATCTGTGGGGAGCAGAAGGGGTTTGCATTTAGCACAGGGACACGGGCACCAAAAGTGAGTCTGTCTCAAGGGCTCTCAAACTCATGGCCAGGAAAGACCCCTCGAAGCTGGCATGGGGTGGGACGCACTGCAGACAACTGTTCAGACCCATCACCAGCAATCCAGAAAAGGGGATGAACAAAGTCTGCATGCACAGTAATTTTATTTAGGGTGGCAATGACTGAAGAAATGCTGGTGGAGCATCAGAGCAAGCTGGAAAAGGTCGAAGAAGAGTAAGAAGGCTGACCTGAAGAGGGAAGGGGTATCCAGCCTCACCCAGCCCTGCAACACCCTAGACTGCACTCAGGGTGAGCACCCCACATGTGGGGAGAGGCAGGGGTACGGGGTCCCAGGCAGCACCCTCTTACCTTCACGTTGTGCACGCTCATCAGGTTCCCACAGTTATCGAGGTACTGCTTGAGGTCGTTGTCCTGCAACGAGAAGCAGTCAGCCTGTCTTTCCCTCAGCCCCTATCACCCACCCGCAGAAAGGCAGCCATCCCCCCGTTCCTGCAGAAAGCTCCCCCAGGCCTACCAGGTACTCGAAGACGAGGGTGAGGGAGCGCTCTGTGTGGATGATGTCGTGCAGGGTCACGATGTTGGCGTGTTTCAGGTTCTTCAGCAGCGACACTGCAAGGACAGGAGACGGCAGGTTGGGGCAGCAGGACCTGGGACTGCCCTCTGCGTGACTGCAGGTGTACGTGTCCACCTGCACCACCCGTCCCAAATCCACCCGTGACCCAGCATTGCTCGTGAGGGCTGTGATGGGGAAAAGCCCCTCCTGCCCTCACCTTCCCGTATGGCCGTGCAAGGTGCCCCTTCCTCGTGCTCCAGGCGGATTTCCTTCAGGGCAACCAGGTTTTCGGTCAGCTTGCTGCGTCCCTTGAAGACAGTGGCGTAAGTGCCCTGGATGGGGAGAGAGAAAATACAAGCCATGCAGACCATTTACCAGGGTGGCACAACACTGATATACTCCATAACATTTGGAGGAAGGATCATTTGAAGCTACGGGGCCAAGACAGAAGTCCACAGAAAGACTTGGTCTAAAGATTGCTAGATATTGAAGAAATTTGGCTACAGCCTGCCCTTTGCACTTCAAGCTGCCCTTCTAACTTAATTTAAATCCTTCCAGGGGTTTCACAGTCTACTCACCTCTCCCAGTTTGTCCAGTTTAACATAGGTTTCCAGCTTCCCAAACCCAATATCTGACTGTAAGAGAGAAAGGAAAACATCACTGGGAGGGATCTCATCCAGAGATGGCTTCATCTCCAGGGGGAAGGTCAAGGACAGTGGACAGTAACAGCTTTGGGGGCAGATCAGTCAAGGCAGGTGTTTGCATGCAGAAGCCCAGCTGATCTAAGTACTTTCCTGGAGAAGCCGTGCAGGCAACCAGACAATCAATCAGAAAACCTTCACAACCGACTGGCTGCTTAGGCAAAATGGATGGCACCTGCATCGCGTACCCCAGGGCACCGCAGCCTGCACGACTGCCCCTTCCCACTGCCACCCCCGCAATTCCCTTCTCCTCTCACCCACCACCCTGACACGCCACCAGCAGCGGCCAAGTCCAACAAGAGCTGTGATTTGCAAAGAGCTGATGCCCTTTCTATTGGAGAAGCCTCGTGGGATCCTGCTGCTGATGCCCAGCCCTTTTCTTGAGTGCTTTCCTACGTCCTGGTCTATACTGTGCCTCCGTTCATTTCTCTGTGTGCTGTTCAAATCAAGCGTGAAAGGGACATTTTCCCATTTGGAACAGTAACTCTTTAACGTACTGCTGAGACCTGTTCTCGTGCACCCAGTGAAAGAAGGGTAACCACTGCAAGGCCACAGATTTAGGTGTCACTCCTAGCAGACCCCTGGAATTCCAGTTTTCTGTGGGGACAGAGATAACTCCTCGGTCAGTTTGGATTATCTGTGTGCCAGGCAGGGGATGGTTCCCAGCACAACAGGGCCCAAGGCAAATCATTGCTCCTTTATGTCATTACTCCTGGTGTCATTCTCCCACAAAATATGTTTGCATCGGTGTCGTCCCAGGCCAGCAGCCAGCTCTGACTCCAGCCCAGCTAAAGGCCCCCCAAGCCAGCAGCGCTGCCCCCTCTCCCGAGCCAAGGGCTCATGCCATGCCGCTCACCATCAGCAGATGGAGCTGGATGGACAGCTGTCAATCAGGAGGCAAAGACACGGGCTATGCAGGGCAAGAGTCCCCTGGGGGAGGCACCGAAGGAGCCCCCTGCACTGTGCCCAGGGCTCTGCCTGAAGAACCAGCAGCCCCAGGTCTGGGGTGCTCTTGCAGCCTCCCCTGCGCACCAGATCTGCCCCACGAGAAGACTTTTTCCTTGCAACAGGCACTGACCAGACCACCAAGCTCTCACAAGCTGCCACACGCAGCAAGGAAGCTGCTTTCTTGCTCACGCAGGCTGGATTTGGACTGTCTTTTTACTCCCATTTTGGCTTCCCCAAACTCTCTGGGAACAGATGTGTCCTGAGCAGGGAAATGAAGTGACTGCTGCAATCTGAGGTGCTGTACACCCCCCTAGAGCCATACTGCGAGTTTTGCAGGGGCATGCCTTATTCATGGAGGGGACCATGAATATTAATGGCATGTTATTCTGGCTGTGTTTATTTTATTGATCAGACAGAACAGGCAGGTAAATGCAAGCTCTCCTTTTCTCTTCCCTCCCCCTGAATAGGCATGCCAGATCTGAAGATGCCTGCTGAGACCTCGCTGTTGTATCTGTATAGCACTGAGCACTCCTGGGCAGCAGGACACATGCTTGCACATTTGTAAACAGGGCACCGGGTTTTTGCTCCTACATATGCTGATGCTCTGCAGTAAAGAAACTGAAAGGCCAACACTAATGCAAAGGCTAATTCATTATTTATCAGCATTTGCATTTCAACTAGCAGAGGCTCCACTACTTGCTAAACTGCAGGAGGCTTTCCACCTCCTCCCCTTTGGAAGGAGCTAGGCCAAGAGGGAAGTCAGGTATGTGCAGAGGTGAGTGAAGGAATGTGCAGGCCTGGGGATTTGCACAGCAGTATGCAGATGTGCATGTGTAGGAGTGATACGGGGGAAGAGACGCATATGTGTGTGGTGGAGGGAATGTGTACTGCTGGGAGTGTGCAGAAAGGGATTTGCATGCGCAGGGATGTGTGTGTGTGTATCTCCATGACACACAGGCTGTACAAGGGAGCTTACACAGCAGGGCATGACTGCATGGGTGGGTGGCAATCAGCACATGCATCTGCTGGCTGGGACTTGTATGCATGAAGCGAGATGCCATGCCTCTGCTGCTCGCTCTGCATGGTGAGACTTACGAGGGAAGCCCGTCGGGACATCCTGCTGAGGGGCTTGGGGAACTCTGGGCTCTCCATCTGCAGCTTCTGCAAGAACTCGGGGGGCAGGCGGATGTCCACGGGCAGGGAGAGACGCTTGCTGACATCCTGCGGAGAGGGCCAGAAGAGCGGGTGATGAATGCATCTGGTGAAAGGAGGACTGTACAGAGACAATCAAGGGGAAGTGCTCTCTAACTACAGCTGATGTTAATACCAAAGCAATGGGTGCAGCATCTGTGGGACCCTTAGTCAAAGGAAAAGGGAAGGTGTGCATGCATGCGTGTGCATGGGGATGTGCACTGGGCTTTGTCAGGTACCATGGAAGTCATGTTGAGTGCACCCAAGAGGATGTCAGGGCTTGTGTCTGAGACTGCCAGGTCCCCACGAATCAAACACCAGCTCTTCCAGCCAGCAGGCAGGTGACAACCAGAACTTGCCACGTCCCTCCTGCCCGCTCCGGCCTGCAGCAGTACTTGCCTCCATGGAGAAGCGACGCTGGTTGTTGTTGCGGTAGCGCACGGCCATCGGGGACTGGCCTTCCACCTCGGAGGGGGAGACGGGGCTGGTGTCTGCTCGGAAGTCCCTGCCCAGGTGTCCCAGCTGCAGGTGCCCTTGAGCCAGGTCTGAGGACAAAAAGAAAGGACAGTGAGCTGGTGGAATGGTAGCAGAAGTGCCAAGGCCCAAGGCACTTGCTTTGGAGAAAAGAGAGTGAAAGGAGGGCAGGAAGATGCTCTGGGGCCATGGGAAAGTCGTCTTCCTCCTCCCTATCCAGGAGGCAGAGAGAATACCTGCTTTTTGCTCCAGACTCCTGGTGCATCGCCACCCACACAGCTCTGCTCAGCAGCACCCCCAAAGTGCCCTCGTGCAGCCCCCTGCAATGGTCTCTTTTGACAGACGAGGAGGGGGATGCAGAGAGGGCAACTGCTTCACCCCCAAGGCCACCCAAGATCTCCCACATCCCTGTCCAGTGCTCAACCCGCCAGGCAGCATCGCCAAGCAGCTCATCCCTCTGCAGCAGCACCACGGGGTTTTGCACGGGTGAGTATTCATCTTAACTTCCCAGCCTTATCTTCACTAACGTCACATTAGACAAAACACGATTTGCACTTTAGGAACACCTAGGTGCCTGACTGCGGCTCTGGATCCCTCTGTGCTAGGTCTGTACAAAAGCAAAACAGAAAGAGAGCCCTGCCTCTGGGGAGCTTACAAGCACATGTACCTAATCTGCCTCAGGAACCACCAAAACTAACAGACTTCAGGGTACTTTCCTCCAAGGATGGGACCGTTTCTCAGAAGGTGTTTGGGATTAAAGGCTGCAGAATCACTTATTGCAAAACAAAACACTCCAGGCTTTCCTGCCCCAACCTGCTGTGCTTAGACAGACACACAGTCCTTAGAAGCACAAAAGCTCTCTTGAAAACCAAAGCAGCTCAGAAAAATAACTCTTCTCTTGGGACTCCAGTGTGAAGCCTCACTGAGCCCAAGAAACCCTGAAAGGAGCAAGCAATCAGAACAAAATAAGCCATTGAGCTCCCTCTGGTCTCCAGTTTGAGGCTTGCACTTAAACCTCCTCACTCTGTAATTAACAGCTGGTTGGCAGGAATATTCTGGCATGCATAGACCCAGACAGTGGCACAGAAAAACATCGACAAGTTCAACGCAGGTCGCCTGGACCCCAGCGAAGTGGATTCCCCTGATTCACACAGATGCTGTTTCCAAGGGGCCGTTCAGAAAGAGGCAGCGCTAACTGGGTGTGCTGGGATGGAGGAGGCAGGGCTAACTGGATGTGCTGGGATGGGGAGAACAAACTCCCCAAGGGAGGGATGCACCTCCCTCTGGAAAGGTGTGGGGCCAAGAAGGGACGACCGTTTTGTCCCCTTCCCGGTGGCCATACAACACTCTCCCTTCTTATCTAAACTTTGCTCCAAGTTAGCAAGGCCTCTGGGGTCCAAGGACCCCGCCATGAAGCACCGGTGTCCTCCATGCATCCAGGCACCCTGCAGTGATTTCCCCAGAGCAAGGAGGAACATTGCAGGAGGGAAACACCCCAGGGAGGACCTGTGATGTCCCAGGCTGAGCCACTGAGCCCTGCTCCTTGCCAAACCCTTTCCTTGAGCTGCACAGAGACAATCCCCTGCTACGCCTAATGCAGATTTCAGCGCACGGATCCCAAATGTGCTCAGGCAGCCAGCGATGATCTCATTGCTGAAGACTGGAGAGGGCGGGCTGGCTTTCACGGGGTGGTGAGCAGGGCTGGGACCTGGCTGCAGTTTGCTCATCTGATGGATGAGAGGTGGCAGGCAAGTGACCTGGGAAAAGATGTGGTTTTGTGCCATGGTCAGTGGGGGACCAGGGGACCTGCGAGCTAAGAGACGCAGGGTGTCCTCGATAGACAGCCCGCACGTAAGGGATGGGTTCAGCCCATGCCACTGGGCCTGGGAGCATCTGAAACAGTGCCAGGAGTTTTTGGGCAGACAAGCAAGAACGAGGCACAGAGTCACCCCTTCTCCCAGGACCGCTGCGGGACTCTGGTCCCTGTCCCTTTCTGGCCATCTGTCTGTGCAGGAACAGTCAGGAATCTTACCCTGAATTAACCACAGGTATAAAATTAACATGGATCAATTAAACTGAATCAAATCTTTTTAACTTGCTCGCTTCCTAAGCAAATTATCTGAAAAAAACCCGAAGGCCATTTAAAATCTGACTGAACGGAGTTCAACTAATCCACTTTAAATGATAGTTTGGGTGAATTTGTGCTGGTTCCCATAGGTAAACACGCCCAAAGACTTGGTAAAAGATGCAGCCTGTCCCTGAAAGGTGCAAACCAGCAGCACTGTCACCCTGAACCAGCAGCCCACCCAGGTTAGTGTCAATCTCTCCTCATCTACAAGAGCATCAGATGTAAAGCCAGAGGTAAGATGACAACCTGGGCATTCTAGTGCCAGCAAAGGGGAATGGGATACGCAAAGGATGTGAACGACCATATCATGGGAAAAGCATGTAAAAATACACAGAGATTTGCAGAGATGAGGGGAAAGGTGTTTGGGCTGCCCTGGGGCCAGAGAGGGCAGGCGGGATGTGCCAGCCCAGTCCATCCTGTGTCACCGCGAGGTGCCCACAGCACCCGGGGATGCCCAGTCCCGCAAAGATGCTCTCTCAGGGCTGGGGTTGCCCCCGGGCTTGGAGGAACTTGTCGGGTGCTCACGGGAGGAGATGAGAAGCTGTGGGCGTGCAAACGTGAGGGCCTGTTTGACTCTGCTCGGCATTTCATGTGGATGACAGCGAGCCCTGACACTCTGCAAATAATAAGGCTGCATGGGATATCAAAGCAAATTAAAGTGAGACCGCAGACACGGCGGCTGCCTTTGACGAGCCTCCCACCTTTCTTTATAAACGTATTTAAACACTGCCTTTGCCAAAACAAGCTTTGATCTCCCAAGGAAAGGGGCCAGAACCCTTCACTGCTTGCCTGACTTACGACTTTTAATTACTTTGCTAAGTGTGAACTCTCTTCTCAAAGCTCTGTTATACTCATGAGGCAGGGCTGCACTGAGGTCTTGGATTATTCACCCTCCTTCCTCCCCCTCATCATCACTTCTTTGTGGCCTTGCACTCCAAAGGCCAGATCGGGCTCTGATTTATGCCATTGCAAACTGGGAGTTACACAGGCTTTGCAGCCTGAATAGTGAGACCTTATTTGGCCTCGGAGGACAGACCAGGCGGTGGCTGTGTGGGGCAAAGCCTTGGCACAGATAGGAGCTGTTGCTGAATGCCACTAGCTCTTATCAAAGCAAATGGGAGACACCAAGACCTGATACCTCTGAAAATCTGGAGTATGGAGAGAAATGTGTGACTGGGGAAGCCCAGGAGGAAAGAAAGGAGCCTCCTTGCCTTCAGCCTTAATGTGAGGCTGGAGCAGCCATGGAGAAGGTTCCCCATCTCTGAGGATGTGGAGATGGTGCTGGCCTTTGTCAAGGATATCAGATATTGTACAGAGCCCAGCCTGCGCTCTCCTTAACCCAGGAGCTTTCTTCCACCTCTGCCTCTGCAGCTGAGCAGCCATTGTGGCCGAGCAATGGCTGTGCTGCCCAGGGGAGGGATGCTTGGCAGGGCGGAGGGGCGTCAGACGCCCCAATTCAGGCTCTGAGTGAATTAGGCTCTGACCACAGGCACCCCCTTTCCCTCTCTGCATCGTCAGACTCCATCAAGGTGACATTGCCCGTGATGGGATGTGTCCAGGCTGGAAAGCTGTTTGCTTTTCCATTTGCCAGCTCTGCTTCTCTCAGGCCTCGTTTTATCAGCCTCTGTGGGTGAGGTCATGAGAGTTACGGGATGGAGAGGACAGAGCTGGGGATTTCCCACCGCACCACCAACAGACGAGGCAGGTTTCTGCCCACGAGAAGGCCTTGCCTTGTCCCGTTGCCAGAGTCAGAGCAGCTCTGCACATGCTTTTGGAGCATCTAATGAAAAGGTCTTCTGGCCTCTGCATCACCCTTCTCCCCAAGGACACGTGGAGGCACTCACAGCCACTGTCATGTAGGATTTGCAGACTGCCTGTGAATGCTGATAACCTGTGATTTCTGATGCTGGAGGGAAAATAAAAACTGCAAGCAATCCCCTGAGGAGCTGTGTGAGGTGATGAAAGAAAAAATGATGTGCTGATCTCTGCCGTGATTAGCACTCGTTTCTGGAGCGAGTGATCACAGTGCCTGAACTGTCATGGGTCATCCGCTCACCAGGAGAGAAAAGATCACTGCAGGCAAGCCTGCCTGCCGTGCAGACAGCAGATCAGCCCCAGGGGCACGTTCAGAGATCCTGAGCAAGGAAGGTGAAACCTGAAGCAAAGCTTTTCCCTGTTTCATGGGGAAGAGAAGCAGCACAAGAGTGACTGCCATGGCTCTAGTCTCAGCTCTGCTACCAGCTTTCTGCACAACTGTAGCGAAGTCATTTTGCCTCTTTGCACCTTGATTTCTCCATCTGTAAAATGGAGGAGACCAACACCTCAGAGAGAACTGCTGCTTCCCTAAAGTCAGAGCCTTCTCCAGACCAGGCAGCTCCCATGAGGTCCAAACCTCACCATCAAACCCTGAAAAAGAGCAACTTGCAGATAAACATCCTTCTCATCCCCTCCAGCACCACCAAAACGATCCTGTCCCCCTACACATCTGAAGTATCACACTCCCACATCATGCCCTAATGCCTCCTCACCCCGGGGTGCTGGGGCTTGTGCCCCCCCCAGCTCTGCCCCCCGGCACTGGCGCCTCCACCTTCCCCCTCCCGAGCCCCCACCAAGACCTCTTGGCACAGGGCTGTGGGCAAAGAGCTCCCAGTCACGAGGGGTTTATTAAATGGCCGAAGAGATGCCTCAGATAAATGTGGTTGTCAGGGCTCTTCATAAACAACAGCAGCAGCCTGCAGGAGACGGAGATTAAGGGCACCGTGGAGGTGACTTCTCGGGGTTGTTTACAATCCCCAAGGAAAACTTAATCAAGAGATCTCGGGCAGGAGGGAGTGGGCTCGGGGTGGTGGGTACGGCAGGGGCAGCGTGTTTTGCCTCTCCTGCGTGGGAGAGGGCGCGGGTGCACACTGGGAACCGTGCACCAGGGAGCAGGAGGCACCAGGGAGGGAAAGCTGTGGCAGAGGGCCAGGATGTGCCGCGTCCAGGCAGGGAGGGACCAACCGGTGGGGGCTGGCACCGGGGCGTCCCGAAGCAGCACGCGAGGAGCTGTACCCCATGGGGTGGTGCTGGCAGACCCCGAGCCCCTGATGCATTCCCGGGTGCAGGCAGGAGGATCTCCTAATCGTACCATGTCACAGTCTAGTTCTGGTCCAGCCTCTACCCACGGGGTCGGGAACACCCTCGGCCCTGGCCCCAGGCTCAGTCTGCTCTGATTTCACTCTTATTCTTTCCTGGCTACCTCAGGAGTGAGGTCAGAGGGGGGGGGGGCAGATGCTGCATGCACTGGTTTGCCATTCAAGGGCAAAGGAAGAACCGTGACCAAAGCTTCATTAAAGCAGAAGAACGGGGAAATCGCCTCTCCAACAAAGCCTCGGTTTGCACGGCAGAGATAACGAGCCCAGGCTCAGACATCTCAGAGCAGAGGTCCCCCAAGGAAGGCAACAGCAGCAGCAGCTGTCAGTGCCCAGGACTTTCTTAGCCTTGTACCATTTTATCCCCACAGCTTCTGCACATCTAATTAAGGGCTCAAGTCTAATTATAGCCCTCGCTGCTTGCTAGGGTGTGAGGGGAGGTGTGTGCAGGGGGGAGCAGGGAAGGAGGCCATGAAGGGATGCTGTTCAGGGCAGCCTGGGTGTCCGGAGGGACAAGAAGAGCATCAGGAGCTGCAGGAGTGAGGAAAGCCAGCTCTAAATTAGGTTACTGCATCTCCTCTTTCAAGCAGGTTACCTGGCAGAGAGACGATCCCTCCCTGCTGGGGCAGATGCGAGTGCCAGGCAATTACATCATGGCCTCAGCCCCTGCTTGCAGCAAAAGTTTCTAGCAATTGTGGCTGCAGGGTGAGGGGGAAAAAAGCTTGAACATGACCTGAGTGGAGCCGGGGGCACCGGCACATGAACAGGCTGGCCTGTGGCAAAGCAAGTTGTTTTGGTAGGAGGCAGCAGCAATGACGTGATCCTTCAGCCTTGCACCCGCAGCAGCGAATTTACCCCTGGATGAATCAAGTCTAACTTTATCCGGTTTCCAAACGCCTGCCTGTCAGCAGCTCTGCCTGCTTGCCCATGCACAGCTGCCTCGACGTGATCTGCTCCCAGTTTATGCCTCAAGCATTGCCTCTCCCTTGATATGCCCATAGCCAGAGACAGCGGAGCCTGCCCCAGCCTGCAGTGAGGCAGCTGCTCTGCTTGTGGAAGGGATGTGCCCCATTCTGCTCATGGAGGTGTTTACCCTAAACCTCCCTGTTCCCCGGGACCTTGAAAACTGCATGCCAGGAGAAGGCTGTGGGTCCAGGAGGAAAGGACGGTTCAGCGAGCCCCAGATGCTCCCCTGAACAGAGAGAGCAGCGCCTTTGGCTTGGTGGAAGTGTCAGCCTGTAGCCCTGGAGAGAGGGCTCGAAGAGCACTGTCACTTTTGGGCAGGCAGGAGGAGATCCCACGCTTTCACACTCTCTACCTTAACCACAGATGTGTCACTCCTCTCTGTTTTGTGCAAATACCTTTCTCTCCTATAAGGCTTTCCTTATGCAAGTATAAATCTCTCTTCAGATCAGATTTAATGACAAGGTGTTATTAATCCTGCAGGATAGATGGGGGAAGCAACACCGACAAAGGGGCAGTAACTTTCCACACCTCAACACACCCAGAGAAAGGCTGGGGGGACTGCAGTGGAGATGCTTGCTGGCAGCGCTGACCCCAGATGCTCTCGACCAGCCCCAGCACCATGGCAGGGGCCTGGGGGCTCCTTACCTTCATTCCTCCGGTTGTTGAGCTGGTTGAACTGCTCTGTGAACTCCGTCAGTGACTCCTCGATGGTCTCTGTCCGAGGAACCGAGAGTGAAAACCTCCGCTTGAAATTTTTCATCTTGTTCATTTTACCTTGTGCTGCGAGGGATGGCAGAGCCCTGCGGGGAAGGGAAGAGAGCAGGCTGAGAGGGCTGGACGATGCATGGGACTGTGGCCCCCAGCCCCACAGCTCCTGCTCTTTGGGGCTGGCAGCACCCCGACCCGAATTTCCCCTGCTGGGGACCTACAAGGATCCCCAGGGACATCCTCTTCTCCGAGGCACCGCTGCTGTGTCAAAGCAAAAGAGGAGCCACATGGTCACCAGAGGAATCAGGTTCCTCATGAATTCAACAGCTGACTGTGGTCAAGAAGTGCAGGGGGCTTTTTCTGAGTTAGTTATCAGAGATGAGCCCGGGGCAGGGCTGTGCACACTGAATCACAAGTACCGACACGGGCTGTGCCTTACAGCATCCTTGGAAACTCCAGGGTTGCCCGGGACAGGGAAAAGCAGGGTAGAAATAGAAGGAAAGCAAGAAAGAGTAAACAGTGACGGAAAAGATTCAGTACCACACTCCTCCCTGTACAAGGAGGCACCTCTCCCCTGGCAGTTTGGTCTCTGCTTTGCCCTTGCAAGAAAGACTTCCTGAGCCAGCAGCAAAATGCCAAGTGAAGCCAGTACCGGCTGGGGGGATCCCTGAGAGCCACAGCAAGGGGAGATGCTTTGAGCTCACAGCTTGCTCACAAGCTCTTGAATGACTCATCCTGTATGGGCATTAGAATCGCCTTAGCCAGGGATCTGATTAAAGCAATAAAACCCTTAAATGAAGAAAACCCTCAAGGGGCACATGGCGAAGCGTGCTGGGTCTGAGCAGCCACATGAGTAGGCTGAGGGAGCTCGCTCTGGGTGTCTCGGAGCCACACGCCGCTTTGCCTTTCCTACTTTGGCTCTTGCCAGGCCCGTCTGTAGCTCAGCAGCGCAGATGGGACCGGGCTGCAGAGCTGCCTGTGCAGGGCTTGGTCTTTAGCACCAGCCCCACTGCACTCAGGTGTTCCTCCCGCCGAGCACAGACCTAGCGAACAGCCAACGCTCCCTGCTCCCTGGACTCCAAACATCAGTGTCTCACCCCCAACCAGCCACAGCTCTGCCCCTTCCAGTCCCAGGCCCAAGGAGGTTTGGGTCTGTCCCTCTCCCCCTCCCAATCTGATGAGCGTAGGGCTGCTCCTCCACCAGCCTTTATCGTCTCAACCCTCTAACCTGTCTGGCGAGGGATTTCCATTTTACAGCACCGGACTCCTTTAATGCTACTCTCACCCACCAGCCCAAGGGAGGATCTTAAGGGGAAAATCATCCCTTGGTAACAAACAGGCATCAAAAGCTACACAGAGCGGTTCACAGAGCGGTTCTTTCCTGCACCGACACACACATCCCATGACTTCTCCCGCACCCCTGGAGCAGGTCGGCCCCCCTACTCCTGGGAGTCCCCACTGCAGCTCAGCAGCCCTCTTCCCCTGCTCCGTCCCAGCCCCCTCCGGGGCTTATCAGCACAAACAAACAGTGATCACATTCCAGACTGATGCGATCAGACACGGCATCCGGGAGCTAATGCATCGCGTCGCCAGGGCAACGGGAACACTTGGGTTGACATGCCTGCATCTGAAAGCTTAAAAGATTATCCATCAGCAATATAAACACTCTGTTTGCGTGTCTGCCATGCTCTGCTGTGAGGCATGGCACCCTGCTGTGGGCGCAATCCCCTGAAAATCCCTGGGATTCACCACTCACACCCCTCAAACATCCCCACTCATCTCCCACCTTTAATGCTGCAAAACCCTAAAGCTGAAGGCTCGACTGCAATGCTTGTGTACCTGGAATCAGGGCTGGGGTGTTTGGCTGGGGGTGGGAAGGGAGGTTGGAGGCTGCTTTGAGTTGCAAAGCGAGGCAGGAGGATGCTAGACACATCCACTTCAGGCTTCAGACATTTAAATGTTTTCTCGGCACTACAGAAACATGCTTTGACAACAAAGATACTGGCACTAGTGAATGCTGCATTAACAAAGTCTCCATGTGGGTGCTTTCCTCATGGCCAAGAATAAAGTCTCCAAGCAGTGCTGTTCCTTCTGAAGGGAAGGCAAAGCTTGACACTTGGTTTGGAGACCGTTTTCCCAGCCCATGGCTCTGATCTGGTGCCCTACCTTGCAAGCTAAGCAAGTTTTAACCGAGGCACTGCTGGTGTATGGAAATGCCACTAGTGTTGCAGGCAGCCAAGGAACTAAATCGACCTGAAGTGTTTTGCTCCAGCTGCGCATGCTGACGCTGCTAAAGTGGCACTAGTAAAAGCTACAGAGGCTCCTGTGCTAGGCACTGTTTTACTCCCAAACAGGAAACAGGAGCTCAGGGGAAATCCGCGATGCTCCCAGCAGGTACAACAGAGGCTCAAACGAAAGATAATCTTTCAACATTAATGTTCAGATAAGCCCCAGTGATTATCCTTTCAAATTAGGGCATAAGCAAGTTTCCACGCATCTCTGGTGAAGGTTACACTAATGAACTGCACTCTGGTAGCATCCTGAGCGACCCTTGCACATGTCTGTAACACAGCAAGTGCAAGGAGACATTCGCAGCAGCAAGTGCTGCAATGACCTGACTTCAAATCCACCTGAAGATGCCAGGCTGCCTTCACCAGAAACCGGCAGGGAAGAGAGAAAGAGTTGGACGAGATTGCCCCTCGCCAGTCCCCCAAGATGCTTAAATCACAGCTTGGAGAGGAAGGCTCTGTGTTTCAGGAGAGATTTAGCAATCATGTGCACCCCTAACAGTGGATGAAAGAAGTGTATCTACCTGCTGGATAACACACTTGCAGTACCAAGGAGGAGAGATCCCAGCTCTGAGCACCATCCCCTTTCCTGCCGTTTTGGAAAGAGCACCCTGCCTGGCACTGGGAGGGACTGGGCTGGAGGGCTGGGGGCTGCTGCAGAGCCGCTCAACCCTCCCCACGCCTGCCGTGCCCAAAGGACAGCAGTCACCCTGCCACGCTGGGGACAAAGTCCCACCCTGGCAGGGAGTGGCACGGGATGGTCAAGAGAGCAAGCCACACCGCAGGACCAGAAGGTCACGGGAAGGTGCTCAGCATGAGCTGCTGAGCAATTCCTGCTCTGACAATCCCCCACCAAGCCAATCCATAGCCCCCAGAAGGGCCCTTGACTCCAGGACCAGGAAAGATAAAGGGAATATAAAAGATTCTCCATCTCCAGGTGAATGAAGAAGCATATGAGGGGAAAGGGTCTTTCCACCTCCCCCCTGTCCACTCACCCTTCTCAAAACGGTGCAAATGGTTTAGAAGGCAAACAGCTTCGCACCGACAAAAATTTGTGCTCCACAAATTGCAGCCCGAATCCTTCCCCGCCTTGTCACCCACTGGAGTGCCAGCAGCTACAGGCTGCTAAATATAAAACTCCTCGGAGAGGAAGTGGGGTGGGGGTAAAAATAGCACCGACATCGCTAGCTACCTCTCCTGCTATGCACAAGCCTGCCCTGTACTCATTATCTTTATGGCTCTGTGCAATTGTGGCTAGACCCGGACCTACTTGGCATCTGGTGATGGGGTTCATATTAAAGTGTTTGTCAGCTGGAATTTGTGGGACTGTTCATGTTCTCAGCCTTCCACTGCTCCCAGAGAGGAATTTGTCCTGTCCCGAGTGGCCACTTGGATCCAGATGCCCTAAAGCTAGGATTTGTTCCCCTCCTGTAAGCATGGCATCCCGCGACCTGCATGCTAGAAGGCTGCAGCACATCGCATGGGGCAGGTGATGCGGGGTCCCCAGCGGGCACCCCTCCCCACACACTGCCCTGGGCAGTACCGTGGGGTGCGAGGGGCTTCGTCCTCCCTCTGGCTGCATTTCTTCTGAGAAAAGGCATCCCCTTCTGCAGCTCAACGGAGCAGCCCAGCCCTCTCTCCCGGCATGGATTTCAAAGGAAGAATTGCTAGCGACTGCCTCTTTTTTTCCACCATGTTTTGCAGGAATGTAGTAAAGGAGGTGGAGGCATTTATTGACTTTCTGAGAGAAAGTGACACTTGCTAAGCAAAGCAATGACATCACTTGTTTTACAGCCTGAAGGATCTCAAAGGGGATTACAGCAACCCCTGAACTGTAGTCATCTCTGGGATGGAAGAAGCCGGCTGATCAACAATATGCAGAAACACGACGTTGCATGGTAGGACACAACGGGAAGAAGCAGTCTAAAATGGCAATAAGGAATTTAGGCATCAACAGGCAAAAATGAAATCACTCAGGCTGGAATTTGGCCAAGAAACAGGGATTAAAGCCAGCAGTGTGAATGATCTGCATTTACTGTAATATAGTCAGATAGTAAATACTTGGCTAAAACACTTCAAAGAGCCCAAAGCTGAATCCCGTCAGGAAAGCTCATCACATGATGAAGAAAAGATGTTAACGATTCTTTAAACACTGAATTCAAAGCCGTATTCGCTGCACTAGCAATAACTGTGCTCGCTATTTTTCAGTGAACTATTCCCATAGGCATTCGGGCTGTGACTATCCACATGAATCTCTCTTGCATTTGTACAGCAAAACCCTCTGGCTCTCTGCTGTGGAATTCAAGAGACAGGTATTTTAGACACAGACAAGCCCTCATCAGTGTATGAAACTATCCCCTTTCTCCTTCAGCATATTGCAGGGGCTCGGAAGCAAGGCTTTCAAGCAATAACCACTTTATTGCTTTTCACAAATGATAAGTGGCTCCATTTTTTTCTTACCATTTTAACAGACTCCTGCCCCCATTTCCCAGCTGAAAGGGTGGAAGGCTTGGAGGGAATAGTATGCTTTTTTAAAGCTTTTTTTTATCCCCAGAGAGATTAGCAGTTGTGTTTACAAGGCAAAATGAACAGTCCTATTCAGCAGTTACGGCTCATGCTTCTAGCTATTAGGTAGCATTGATTCACTCCTGCAAGTATGAGAGAAATGGTGAATTCTGCTCGTAGAGCTGTATTTGCTCTGCAAACACTGCTATCATGCAACGCTGCATGTGGCTACAGGGCTAAACAAACAACGAATCGAGGCACCAGTTGA